TTTTTTTTTTTTTTTTTTTGCTTTCTGTCATTAGAATTAACAAATTGTTACAGTTGTTATAGTTAACTCTACACTTATGTAGGTCTTGTGGCGATTTTTTTCCCCTCGTCAAATTGTGTCTTAATAGAGCAAATGAGAGTCAAAGAAAGTGAAAATGATGTTCTGTTACATTCTTCCTCGCTTTCAAAACATGTCCCTCCCTCCTATYTCTCTGTGAGGTTTGTTTCCTGGTGTTAGCAGGAGCTCTTCATTCAGCTCTTAGAGTCATGTTTGTGCCACAGGGATGGTAGGAGCCACGATAGTGGCCGCCTCCATAGCTCCCAAGCATTAAAAGCTTTTTTTTTTTTTTTTAAATAACTTTGCATCTTGGATATGGTGTGGAAAAAGTAGCCTAGAAACACTCCTTGGGTGGGGGAGAGGTTTGAAGGCGGCTGAGACTCCATTTTACCCTTTCTGTGTTGCTTTTAATGTGATCTTGTCATTTGCACTATAAACCTGATACTGGTAGTAAGCTTTCCTGTCTACTCAGCACTTTTTTCATTTGCCCCAAGTGCTTTGGAAATGAAGCTGGATAGCGTTTCAGGAAACTAAATAGAATGTGAAAGTGGGCTCTTTCATATCAGTGAGCTATATCAATATATAGCTCAGTCGATAAGTAACGATCACCCGGGTTTTTATTGCTTTTTTGGTTATTTGACAAAAGATCAGAATTTCTTACTGCAGTTAAAGGCTGCCTGTTATTTTGCTTTTAAGATATTTTAAAGTTAAACATTAAGTGAAATATTCTAAAAAAAGTTACATTATTTTAATGGTCAAGTAAAAAGGAGGTAAGAGAGAAGAACAACAACCTGTTTGAGTTGGTGCTACCAGGAGATACCCTTGGGATGGTAAGGGGAGGCGGAAACATCACATGATTCCCTGAAAAGGACTTTTTTGTGGTACTGCSTGACTAACAGTTAACACATAACTGAAAAGTTCAAATTTCTGACACTGTTCTGAGTGTTTGTTAAGAGATTGTGGTATCCTAATGTGAGTTTGTCRGGTTAGATGTATGTTGAGCTACTTGGTGCAGGAACATGCCCTTGCTTTCTTTAACTACTAGTAATATGAAAAAGATCAGTAAAAAGATTTTTTTAATAGAATAAAATGGTCTACTTGTTATCTGTTGCATGACTTTTTCTTGCCTACAGGGTGCAGTCTTTGATCAATGTTCTATTACACATCTGAAAATGGAAAATGCTGACATAATCTCATTCCATAGCGTTCAGCTCCTCCCTTGTTACATTGCACTACAGGGATGTTGTAGATTCCCCTAGATAAACTTGATAAAGACAACCTTATCCTCATTGCTCCAAGTTTGCATCCTGCTACTTGCAGGGTTATAAGGATTCTGAATCCAAACAAAGCTAGGCTGAAATTCAGTTTGATTTTAAGTTTCCTAGGTTTAGGTGTTCAACCTCCTGTTAAGATTTTTTGAAATCTGGTCAATGGAGGCAAGAATGTGACTCAGCTGACTTGTCCCTTGGTGTTTACTTCAGGGAGAGTGAACTGCTCTCTGCTTCCTTTGACTAAATTGGCCATACTTCCCTTAAAGGGCGTGTGTTTGGATACCTACCTGAGTTGTTTATCTGCATTTTCACCTCTGACAACCACTGTCACTAAGATGAATGTCTGTGCAGTCCAGAGTTTCATAAGACTTTAAAATGTGCTTCTTCCTCTTGCAGAGATCCATAGGCCTCCCAGATGTGCATTCAGGCTATGGATTTGCCATTGGCAACATGGCAGCCTTCGATATGAATGATCCCGAGGCAGTGGTGTCACCAGGTAAGGAGGTGACTGGACTTAATCTGCACTGAGGACAGGACTGACTTAATCTGCACTGAGGAATGTCTGTGGTGACTTCAGCACTTTTGGGGGATGCCAGATCTTTACAGTGATTTACAGTTCAGACTGGTTGGAAAAAAATGTATACATAGAAGTTAAAAGATCATTGCACCTGGATCCTTATTCTTTATGGAACCTGTAGTTGCAATTGAAAAAAAAATATCAGAACACTGCATACAGGGTTGTCCTTGTTAGTCTCGCTTGGAGATGTGATATCCTCAGTCAGTGAACTTGGGTTTGGCAAGGCAGATAAAGAATTGATTCTTTTTCTTCAACAAAACCTCTGCTTAGAATATTTCTACACTTTATTGAAAATGTATCCTTAATATTTCTGTCTTTTTTTAACAAACGCTCCAGATTTTCATGCTGGTGATGCTTGGGAGAGGCTTTTGCTCTTGTGGCTGATAGGTGTTTCAGGTTTACTCTAGGCAGTTTCAGTGTTCCCARGAGATTCAAACCCAGGGTCCCCTTAGTCTGGTAACGAGTCTCTGACACTGGYTAATATCAGTTGTTTTACTGGCAAAGTTGATGTAGTTGTGGGTTTTTTTTTTTATTTTTTATATACCAGGCCATGTTCTGCAGTCTTTTTTTTTTTCTTTTAATATGTAGAATTAGCATAAATGCTAAGCAATGTTTAGTGCCCATATAATAAACAGCAACTTACTATCTCTCTTAAGTATTTATTGCTGGGTTTAACTAGTTATTTCTGTTATTCCAGTGACGTTTCAGAAAGGACTAAATTTCAGGGRTTTGTTTCAGGGACTTGTTACCTGAGGAAGTTATGCTCAGATTTCCAGCACAAATCACTTCCCTTAGGCAGGAGAACAGGAACTACCTACCCACTTTTTTGTAAACCATGTGTACTCTACAGATGTGTCTTTTCTTTTGTCTTCATTCTTTTGTCCGCTTGCTGGAACAACTTGTAAAATGAAAGCTCTGAATCATACAGCTGTGTTTGCAGAGCATTTGCAGGAGAAACTAAAAAAATAGTTAAGAGTTTAACCATTTACTTTTTCTTCAGGACTACATTTTTGTCTGTCCTGGCATCTGAGGGCTTCATGTAACCTTATTAACATGAAGCTTGAAGCAGTTCTGCTTTATTCCCAATATTGTGTATACCCCAATATAGAGAAGGCATCAGATCTCAGTGTTTGGTATATGCTCCCTATCAGGAACCTTACTGAATGAAGATGAATGCAGCAAATGCTGCCATCAGCAAACTTTCCCTACTGATGCAGTGGCTTTTTCCACACTTCTAGGTGGTGTCGGGTTTGACATCAACTGTGGTGTCCGCTTACTACGTACAAATTTGGACGAAAGTGATGTACAGCCTGTGAAGGAGCAGCTTGCCCAGGCTATGTTTGACCACATCCCTGTCGGTGTGGGCTCCAAGGGTGTGATCCCTATGAATGCCAAGTAAGAGAATGACTTTATATGATAAGCAGAGGGTACCTCTGGTGTTTATTTTGAGGAAAGATTAATTAGTGGGAGACTTCAAGCAAGAAAAATTTGAAACCCTTTCCTGTTCTGTCTACACGTGTATTTCACTAGGAGAACTGGTATAACTGTTAAGACACAAAGTTAACATCTCTTTCCATCATTTAAAACTCCAAAATAACTGAGAGTTCTTAAAGTTTGTACTTCCTTTAGATTTCGTTAAATGTAGAGCTATTTTTTGGAAAGGGATGAGAGGGAGAGAGAAAAAGTAAGGTATCTGCCCACAAAAAGGGAAAAAGGAATAACCTATTCAGTGTTTTTTACCATGTTAATGCCTTTGTAAACATTACATAAAGTGGCAAGAAGCCAGACTTTTTATTAGAGAAGTTGGGATCCAATTATAAAATCAAAACAATTTAGGTTGGAAGGGATCTCATCCGAGCCCCTACTTAAGGGACAGTTAACTCTGAAGGTAGATCCAGCTACAAAGTTAGATGAGATTGCACAGGGCCAAATCGATTTGATGTTTGAATATTTCCAAGGATAACACGTACGTGGGTGTTTGATAATTCCAGGGATTTGGAAGAGGCTCTAGAAATGGGGGTTGACTGGTCTCTCCGGGAAGGCTATGCCTGGGCAGAGGACAAGGAGCACTGTGAGGAATATGGAAGAATGCTGCAGGCTGATCCCAACAAGGTTTCCTCGAGAGCAAAGAAGAGGGGCCTGCCTCAGGTAACGTTACCCTTCAGCAGGGCTGTGAGCACTCACAGGGTTCAAGTGTAAAAGACAACAGGGAGCTCTGTAATACTGTGTATTTTCTTGAAACTAGAGTTCACGTTTGCTGCCATTCCCTCATTCAGATAATGTTTTGTTGTTAAGAAACAATTAAATTGTTCTATAATTTTTTTTCCTTGTTAACTGACTGAACAAACAGCAGAGCAAGGAAGAATTTTAGATTGAATGTGACTAAGTCAGAACTTTGGATTGTGGTTCAAGGGTTGGACTCCAGTTCTGTAAATTGTCTTATTGCTCAGGTTGGGACATTTCTGAGAGTTGTACTAACACTGCTTCTTTTTTATGTTTTCTTGAGTTTTATGAGTTAAGATGTTGCAAGCAATTTACAGCATACTAACCTGAAAAGAATCTTATGTCCTAAATTTTTACATTCTCCTTGCAACTAAGTAATTTCCTGTTATGCATCTGAAAAAAAGATAGAGGCTTGGAAATTAAGTATCTTGATTTAGTCTGCTGGTAAGTTTTAAGAAATTGACTAAGAGGATGTTGTAACTTCTTCCTGGAATTCTAAACAAGTATATAAGACTACCTGTCTGCCTTGCCTGTGCAAATTGAAGATGTTTTCTTAATACTCTGTGCTTGTTGCCTCTTTYGACAAGGGCTGAATTGAAGAAGAAGAAAAAAGAAATGGCAACAGTCTGTATGTCCTGGTCCTTTATAAAAATAGTCAGAAATCTGATCAAACAGACTATGGTGATGCTATTGATTTGTTTCCTTTCGGTTTATCTGTCCTGTCCTATCCCTTCTTTTCTGGAAAAGCTTCTGTAAGACTAAAACCTTGCTGTAGTGATGTAATGTGCCCTGTTGCTTGCATCCCTCTGGTTCTGCTTCGTGCTCACGAGCACTGACGAGTGTGTTGTGATTGCAGCTGGGGACCCTGGGAGCAGGGAACCATTACGCCGAGATCCAGGTTGTGGATGACATTTACAACGAATAYGCAGCCAGGAAGATGGGCATTGACCACAAGGGGCAGGTGTGCGTGATGATCCACAGCGGCAGCAGGGGCTTGGGCCACCAGGTTGCCACAGGTAGGAGCCAACTCGTGGGAAGCACGTTCTTGTGTGGTCTTTTATTTGGCAGTGGACTCCAGCACTGAATGGCATTTTGTACAGTGTATTTGCTGATTCTGTTCTGAGCTGCCTTGGAAAGGGTTGTCTTGAGTTTTGCTTGCTCAAGCCTCTTACTGCAAAGTTTAAAATCAGTGTATTACTTGGTTTTGCTCTTGGAGAGTACTGATCTGGTGTTCCACCATGTGGTGATGTGGCAAGAGATAGCAGACTGATATTGGGACACAGAAATTCCATTTGGATATTAGAATTCTAATTTGCTTGTTTCTTCTTTTAACCATGAAGATGGTCCAATGTTAGAACAAGTTGCTTAGCCATATTGTAGAATATGCATCTGTGAAGATACTGAAACTTGACTGAGCAAGTCCTTGAGCAACCTGATCTAGTAAGAGATGCTCTGAGCAGGGGTTCAGACCTGAGGACTTCCAGAAGTCTCTTTCAAACTCAAGTATTCAGACAACAAGAAAGGATGGAGGTTTTCAATATATCTTCTATGTCAGTGGTTCTTTTTGTTTGCATTTGCATAGAAAGGTGAGGCCATAATGTCTGGTGTAATAAAGGGAGACAGAAAATGAAAAGAGTCTGTAAATTATTGGAGGACAAAAAGATGTTAAGTCTACAGTTTTTACTCTTAGACCCAAATGAAGTGCTCAGATTTTTTAGAGCATGTAACTAAGATGAACTGCTTTTYCCGAAGCAGAAAACGCCCAAAAGTGCACCCAAAGTCCTTAATTTTTCTTTCTAAAAATAATCTTGAGTGTCCTATTTGTAAACAACTGATGTGAATGTCAGCCAGATGAGTTCAGCTTCTAAAATATAGGTAATAAGTCCACATTTCATTACATAAGTCGAAACAATATTAAGTGGTATAATGTTTATTTCCCAGATGCACTGGTGGCTATGGAAAAAGCTATGAAACGGGACAAAATCATAGTAAACGATCGCCAGCTGGCGTGTGCCAGGATTGCCTCTGCAGAAGGGCAGGATTACCTGAAGGGAATGGCAGCTGCTGGGAACTATGCTTGGGTCAATCGCTCCTCTATGACTTTCTTAACAAGACAGGTAGGAGCAGAGCTCTCTGAAAATGCTTGTAGTACTTGTATAAATGTCCTGTTTTGTCATAGACACATGAAAAATGCAGTAGCTGTAGTATTAAATATAACTTTCACTTTTGTGCTTCTTTAAGTTGTGTTTGCTGAACTGACTTGCATAAAGCTGTGGAGATCGCAGTCAATCTAGAACTTCTCAGTACCCATGAATTGCRCTTCTGGAAACCACTAAAACACTTGCAAAAATACTACCTCAAAGTAAAAGAACAGGATGCAAGAATACTGTTTTTTACCAGATAATTTGCTCAGTGCAGCCCAATTTCAAGGCCCTCAGTAGGTTTTTTTCACTTCCTTCCTTGCTGAATGTCCCCAAGGTTTTTTTATATGTAACATCAAGTGTTCAAGTTATTGGCGTTTCACTAAAATATTTCCAAGCAAATGCATTGCTTTCAGTTCCTAAAAGGGTTAGAAATCTTCCACATCTRGACAGCAAATGTATCTTCGTATTTTAAGTCCCGCTTTGCTCCCTCTCCAGGCGTTTGCCAAAGTGTTCAACACTACCCCAGATGACCTCGATATGCACGTTATCTATGATGTTTCTCACAACATTGCCAAAGTGGAGCAGCACGTAGTGGATGGAAAAGAGCGGACGCTGCTGGTGCACAGGAAGGGATCCACCAGGGCCTTCCCTCCTCACCATCCCCTTATTGCTGTGGATTATCAAGTAAGTCTAACTGTGGAAGAGAAAGATCAGAAGATGCTTTTGGGCGAATGAGCAGTTTCAGGGTTGCTAACAGATCTCACTGCTGTGGGTTCCTCTTTTGAACCAATAGCAGTGGAATACTCATGAGGTGCAGTGTTCTGCTTGTCTGTGTATTAAATTTTTGGGAAGCTGAGTTTCCTCTGCTCCTGCACATGCAGAGCAGCTGGAAGATCACAAATGAAAAAGGAGGGTTTCATAATTAGGGCAAGCTGCAGTCATTTTCCATGTCTCTTGGCCACAAGTCTTTTCCTGTGTTGGTCAACATCCTTCAGTTCAGKTCTCCAGAATCCTTGATACTGGGCACCTAAGGCGAGTAGGGATGCTCTGAGAGCATGTGAACCTGCTCTCCTTTTCCTGGAGATGCACTTTGCCTCGGGTGTTTGTTAAGAAAGTGTTTTACAGACTTCTTCTCTTCAATGAAAGCTGTTTTTCATCCGCAGCTGACTGGGCAGCCTGTGCTGATTGGCGGGACCATGGGCACCTGTAGCTATGTCCTTACTGGCACGGAGCAAGGCATGACCGAGACCTTCGGAACGACTTGTCACGGAGCTGTAAGTTAAATCCCTTCAGGGACAGCTTGGATTGGGATTGGTATCCAAAAAACACAGTTCAAAACAAGGTTGTTGATCATCTGGTGCATGGTTTAACCAGTAGTGGAAGTACAGTAGCCAGGAGAAATATCAGGCCAGGAGTCTTCTTTTTGGTCCCTCACTGATTAGTTTTGACCACTCCAGTGGAAAAATTATGGGATGCTTCCTTATATAAGGCACAGGTTAGGATGGAGAYCTGGAGGATGATGAAATCTATTGTCTCCCCTCTTATTTGCAACATGAGATAAGCATTTTTGAGGAAGAGAAATAGTTCCCAAATTCTTCAGTAAAACTGGACTGTAAATGTTGTCTGACAAGTGTTTTGGGTAAAAAGAGACTTGCAGAGTCTCACGTTAGGCCTATGGAACTTTCCAGGTCATCATACCAGATAGGCAGTTGTGCAGGAGACATGATCTAAAGTCTAAATTCACACCAGATTTTTTGGCTTACTATGATGTGCCTCAAACTATGCTGCATTAACTTTTAGTATAAATTGACTTTTGAACATGTGCTGGATGCAGCAACAGGTGTTGAACTTCACTGAAGAATATTCCAGGAAGGTTCTCAGGAATCTACCTCCTGTGAGCACATGCCACAACTTGCAGTAGTAGTTCTAACAAGTTTTCTTTATTTCATTCAAGATACTTGGGAATGTGGCTTGWCTGTGCGTATTTCTTAGATTGATTTTATTGTTTTGTTTCCTTTAGCACTAAAGAATCCTGACTTTCCCCCCTTTCTTCCCCAACTCTAACGCCCTAGGGCTACAATAAACAGAACTAACTTAAAACTCTTSTCTAGGGTCGTGCCCTGTCTCGAGCCAAATCTCGTCGTAACTTGGACTTCCAGGATGTGTTGGACAAGCTGGCTGACATGGGCATTGCCATCCGTGTTGCATCTCCCAAGCTGGTTATGGAAGAAGTGAGTTCAGTGCTTTGTCTGAGAGGGGAGAGGGGGTCTTGACCAAATGATCCTGATGTGATTCTTAGCAGTGTTGAGTTATCCTTGGTACGCTAAATGTACAGCTTCTGTGATTCCTTAAAGAGCTTCTCCCTTTTCTGGAAAATAATGTCACGTTTTCCCTGTCACCCAAATCCTGCTGTAAAGATGTGTGTGTGACAGGTTTGGAAGGGAATGCTGTGGTTTTGGTAGTGTGGGTTATTTTCTTTGTTATTTTTTTCCTTCTACCTTATGATAGGGGTAATTTATTCTTTATGCTGGTAAGACCTCACAAAAGAGCATAAAAAAAAATGCTAGGTTTTGTAGATTCACTTTCTCGTGTGATCTCACAGCTTTAAATTCACTGTAATCTGTAGCTGCAATTAGCAATGTATGASAGAGCACTCCTAAGACCTGGAACATTGACTTCTGCTTCTTCAGTAGTAACGTCATGGAATGCATTCATGCTCACAGACTCACTCATAGAAGTGTGCTAATCATTTTTAACTATGCTCTTACRGCTTTTGGTATTGTACAAACATGTTCACTGCATTAAAATCTCTATTAAGAGAAGCTTCCTTGTCAGAATGCTGGAGGCAGAAGCTCCAAAGTGCAACCCCACAGCCAGTCAAAAAGAGGCTGTGAAGATCTTTAAGGCTGCCTCCTGTAAGGAGAAATTTGGAGTGATTTCCTGCCAGATACTGAGGCCTTCCATTCTCTCCTGTTGGTGGGTTGGATTGTCTGAGCGTACTAGAAAAACTAAGCCACAATAGCAGCATTTTCTGGAATATTGTGGAATTTTACTTGTAAAACTAAGCATCTGACTCTTAGCTGTGAAAAATTGCTGAGATTGTCAGTTGTCTTCCCAGTTATCTTCCTCTTCCTTTTTGACCCTCAGTTTATATTCTACATAGAAAAGAAAGGATATCAAAAGCCTTCATCTAACTTCCTGTTGCTCTGTAATGTTTATAGCTTTATATTTTTTYYTTTTTTCTCTCCCTTTTCCCCTTTCTAGGCACCAGAGTCTTACAAGAATGTGACAGATGTGGTTAACACCTGCCATGCAGCTGGCATCAGCAAGAAAGCCATTAAATTGAGACCTATCGCTGTTATTAAAGGCTAGGAACTGACAAGGCTGCGGACACCTACTGACATCTCCAGGGCTCCCACAAAACTAACTAGAATCTTCCCACGCCTCTTGAACTCCGTAGGATACTCAGATACCAACCATGTCCATGTCCCACAAATACAGGCAATTAAGGGTGCCCTTCTCTTTAACYGCTCCTAGAGAAAATTAATGCCCCCTCTCCACTTTCATTTTTTTATGATGCTCTTTTCTTATGTTGAAAGAGCAAAAAGCAGTTCTGGTTTTATACGCAGTCCTTTACCGAGCTGTGCCTSGTGATCCCGCTGGTGGGATTTCAGATTTATTTGAAATGCCACCAGTTGCTCTGTTGCACCTCCCTGAGCAAGGAGGGTGCACGAACCAAGGGCCTGCAACTCCTGCACACAGAGCTACTCTGGCTGCAGGATACAGCACTTCTGGGCAGGGAGAGGTGTCCCTCATTGCAGATGGTTCTGTGCATGGTCTGCATTACTGCAAGTATTGTGGTAATTGAGTAGGACAGTCCAAGTTGGGAGAGGTCTCCCAGTTGAGAGGGATAGCGAGACTTGAGGCAGAGCCCTCTCCTCCTCTGCTCCTTGTCCCCTTTAACACTTAATCACCTGCTGTATTGGTGCAGTACAGAAAGGGCTCCACAGAAGCTTGTGGAAATGCAAGTAGGATTGAATATGTAGCTTCGAAAGAGTTGTGTTTGCCCTGTAAAAAGTTGTGACTTTACAACTGCTAGAGCTGTGTTAATCTGACATCTTGCAAAGGCCTAAGCATTGAGAAGTTGCTTCAGGTACTGCTCACTGTGCCCTGCAGCACTCTCTTTTGAGTCCAGGTGTGAGGAGAGGCCCTCTGTGGTTTGACTGCTCTCAGCCAATTACTTTTCTTCCATGTTCTTTAATTTAGACTGGAGGGGGGAGTGCTGCCCATCAGATTTGGAGTATGTGGGGGAGCTAATAAATAAAATGGGAAGATAGGTGTTGCAGGGTGTCTGTGTCATGTTATATTATGTTACCATCATGTCTGTTGTCCTGTCGTGTGTGCACCACATACTTTTAACTCCTGGTTTATCTTAGCTGCCAGGGGCATGAAGCTCAGCTGCAAGCCTGTGTGTGGACACAAGAGGGCGGGCACGGGAAAATAAAACCTGAAAGCAAGAAAGTTGTAATGTGACCTGGCCAAGGACTCGTGCAAAAGTGCTTGGGGTGATGGATACTGATTGATAGGCTTGACGGACAGGAACCTTTCTGGGGAAGCATCATTTCAGGTCTAGCATCTTCATAAAAAACCTGTTGAGTTTCAAATACATAATGACACTTTACAGTTACAATCACTTTTATTGGTCTCCTGAGTCCAAAAAAATACACTGTTAAGGGCTTTAGAAGCAGTGCAGATTGTAATAGGAATTGCTATGACTACTGCTAGATCTGACTTTAAGGTGACTCTATCTTAATTTCTTCTGCTCTCTTAGTAGGACTGTTTCAGATCCTGATCTCTGAGGTCTGAGTTGAACTTTCTAAATTTCATCAAAGATCATTTCATTTAAAAATGTGCTTATGGAACCAGTRACTGAAACACAAAATGTTCATCTCAGTCCTATGCAGGACTATTAATTACATTTACCCTTTGTATGTCAATAAATACTGCAGATTTTCTGGTGTAGGATGCAAGGCAGCTCTTAAAACATTTTTATTTAAATAAAGGGTGGTTCTRAAGCAGTTCCCCTTACAACTTCTACGCATCGTTGCAATTATGATAGTAATAAGCACGTTCCAGTTTCTTAAAATGATAAATCTCTGTATCACATAGGTGCTGTCTTATATGCATGCARTTTCCTCTGAACATTAGCTCTTAGGTATTAGCATTCATGAATGCAGTAAGTGCTGACCATTTTTGTTTCCGGTGGCCAAGCTGGTACTGGTTTGGGGTATATTTTGCGCAGTAGAGAAGTGGGTGCTGGTTTCCTACCTCACTTGTCCCCAGAGAAGTAGGTAAAACATGTAATACGTTGCTCAGTTCTGTTACCAGCTGTAYAAATTTTGAGGTAAAGCAAAACCCAGGATTTAAACGGGGATGGTGTTCCAGTTGAAGCTTTTCCATATTCTGTSAATAGAACTGTGCAATGGCTTTTACAGCCATATTTAAAAATAATAATTGGGATAAGTCATATAGATAAGGGAGGAAGCATTAAAATCCATATGCTGAAATCCTGGAAAGTCTGTAGACAAGTGTCTTGGCCCTACCAAACAGCCCCTGTGATTATTGAAGCCATTTCAGGTCCCAGGGAGTGTTACTGTGAACTCAGAAGTATTTGAAGTATGGTAGGCTTCCCTCCTTTCCCCAAAAGAATAACAAAGCATTGATGGAAATACATTCATACATATATATGGGGGTGTGTGTGTGTGTGTGTGTGTGTGTGTGTGTATATATATATATACACACATGTATAATTTCTTTTGAAACTTCACATTTTTCTTCTGTAGGAGGCCATAGTTCGATATGGGTTTACACCCTGCCCCTGGAGCTGTTGGGTGGCAGTGTCTATGAGCAGGCATTCCTATATTTCATGCCCAGCCACAGTTGATTCAGTTGTCCTGGGCATGGCAGCAGCAGGTTGCACGGCTGTGGGAATTACACAGGGTTTTCCATTTTGTTGGCCTTCAGTCGGTCCCACAAAATCAGTGCTTGGTTGTGGCACCATCTGAGAGCAAGCAGGTGGCTGTGTTCATGTTACTCGGTGCCAGAGCCCTGTGTGGTTTACCCTAAGGGCTGGTCTTGCTGGCACGCGGCTCTTGTGCCCGTAGGCAGCAGAGGCCCCCGGCTGGGCTCGTTGCTCCGGTGGCACCTTCCCGTGCGCTCGCAGGCCTCGCCGCGGGGCCGGGCGCCTCCCTGTGCCACAGGGACCTGTCCCCTTGTGCCCGTCACTGCTTGCGCGGACGGGGGAGCCTCTGCCAGGGTGGAGGGCAGAGCTCCCCGCGCGCGCGGCCTCCTCCGCCGCCGGTGGTCCCGGGGCGGCCGCGCGGAGCCAGGGATCTCTGACACATCTCTGGCGCAGGCGGCCGGGCCTCTCCTCCCCTCGCCTTTGTTCCTCGCAAACATAAACACTCTTAACTGGCCTCTTCGCTTCCCTCTCCAACCCCCGAGCCTTCAAAGCGAGCCGGCAAAGCAATATCCCTCCCGCGGCRTGTGCCAACACGCTCCCCGGCTTTTTCGCAGGGAAGATTTCAATTAAGCGGCGGGCCCTGCCTTGAGCTGGCATTCGCTTTGCGCTTCGTGGTTTTGAGTGTGAGTGTTCCAGGTTCCTCCCCAGAGCACTGGGAGCGGGTGGGAAATGAGCAGGAGCTTCCCAGCTCCACAGACAGCGTCTGCGGCAGGTGCTCCATCCCTCCCGCCACAGGAATTGGGCTCCTTGGACACCGTCAAGCTAATGCCGGGCCTGGGCCGCTGCCTGCAGGGACGCGGAGCGCGTCCCCTTATCGCTGCGTGCTCCTTCCCAAAGGTTCGACTTCAGTTTGGGTTGTTTATAAAACTCAGAAACCAAAATAATCACCCGACTTAATTGCAGAGATTAAGGCAAGGAAAGGGAAATGGAGCCTTTTGCCAGCATCTAATCTCACRTTTACTAGTTTAGCAAAAGCAAGAGCAGGGGGAACTGCCCTTGCTGATCTGGTGCAGCGCTTGGATCAGCCTCAGCTGGAGTCTTTTCCTAAACAGAGGGGCTATGAAGCCTGGATTATTTCTTCTCTGCTCCCCTGCCCCTAAGTGAGCTGTAGCCTACACAGTGCTTTCTGTCTGGGCTTGGATGTGCCCAGCACACAGGAACATGACCCAAATATTCACCACGTTGTCCTTATGCTGCAGTTGGAGAAGTGCTTTTCTCCTCTTCCTCTCCTGCCTCTGTGGCTGAGGAAGCGGAGGGACCAGCCCCTTTCCTCCCTGCACAAGCCATGCTTTGGGTTCAGGAATCGAGGYTTTTCTCTTCTCCATCCAAGCGAGTGTGCGGCGGGAAGTCAGGCTMTCTGCTCTCCCCCTTTTGAAGCACAGACTTGGGGAACCTGTTCCTGGTGCCACGAGCCCAGAAAAGGGCTAGAGAGGGCGGGAGCCGGTGGGAGCCCAAGACGAGGGAGAGGTGCAGCTCCTGGAGGCGAAGATGCGGGTGTAGGTGTGTGCGCAATGAGGTCCAAACCATATTGCATTAGAGCAGCAGCTTATTGCTTGAGTCAATTAAATAATAGGAGATTATCTAACCTGAGCGCATTAGCAGCAAAGATTTGCCTGGTAAGACCAGTTGGCTGCCAGCAGTTGAGCACATGTGCTGCAGGACTGGGRCTTCTGACAAATTTGGAGGGAGAAAATGAGAAAAATGAAAAGCAAGCAAATACAGTACTAGCACCCCAACCTGCATCTACCCCAGCCTGCTGCTTTTCACCTCACTTGGTGTGTGGTCCCATGTGAGCAAGACGTAGCAGCAACACAAAAGCAGYCGTGCTGCTGGCTCCCGAAGAGCAGCTCCTCACGGTGCCCGAGACCAGCTGCCAAGCAGGGGAAAGGGAAGAGCTCAACAAGCCACCAGAACATAACCAGACTTGTTAACTCTCAGATGCTTTGGTCCCTGGGCTGTTTATCTGCCAAACCTGTCTGCCCGTGCYACAAACTCTATCATGGCTTTCTGGACACCTGTGGAGAGCTGGATCCCTGCTGGGAAGTGACCAGGAGCCATCAGGGTTGCAGTATGCAGGTCTTGGATGCCAGCTCTGGGCTGTCTTTGTATTTCAGGCATCAGACAGGAGGCTTCATATCRTACTGCTAATAATAGCTACATCTCATATCTTTTTAGAATTCCAGGCAGAACATAAAGGTGAGTTTCCCTGCTCACAAAACACCTTGTTGATAAATCACCTGGTTGGCATCTCTTGGCATTTGAGAATTGTAACCTATTTATGCTTTTAATCTTTTTAAAAAAGATAGTGGGTTATTTTGTTTTGGACTAATGCTTATTATTGTTGGGCTGTAAATTTGTGGCATTCACAGACAACTTATCAAGCTTTAACATCACAGATGGAGCGATCGGTTCCTCCACTGTTTCCCTGCCAAACCCTTAACCACTTCTTGGATCACGAAGAAAAAAAATATTGTAAATTACTTTTTCCCTGGAAGGCATTTATGTTGTAACTGTTGCTGCAGGGATTTTCTCCGTTACCTCATGTACAATTTCTTTTTAATCAGGCAGATGAAAAAGAAAAAGAAAAAGAAAAAGAAAAAGAAAAAGAAAAAGAAAAAGAAAAAGAAAAAGAAAAAGAAAAAAGAGAGAAAGAAAGACAAAGGAAAACATGACAAGCACTTTCTTCTCAATTTAGGCTGTGCATTTTGAGTATATCACAGAAAGGATTTTGTCCATCTCCATCCTGCCATAAGCCTATGCATGTCTGCATGGAGGATGATCATTTCTCTCATCTGCTTCAGAGAGGGCAGGGGTGGCTGTTGGTGCTGGGATGGCTTCGTGCCAGCCAGACGGGATCACAGAGGGGAAAGCAGGGAGGGAAATCCCTGCCCTTACCAGAGGCTTCCTCTCCCTGCACTTAGAGTGCCAGGAGCTACACGTTGCTCTGGAAGGAGATCCTCTCTCCTTTTCCCTGCATCCCAATCTTTCTCATTCCCAGAACTCCAGATGATCTTGGCAAGAATTAAGAAATCTTTTTAGTTCAGAAAGGACATGCTGCTGCTGGCTGCTTTTACTGCCAAACCCCATCAGCTCTTCCATTAATGATCAGTGTATGAAGAAAAGGTTTTATCTTAACAGAAACATGAAACCTTGTTTGTGAGACAAATATTTGTTTCCTTGTCTCCTGGGCAGGAATTCAAACTATTTTATGGTTATCAACAGCAGTGAAGAACACCATTGCTGTCTTCTTTCCTCCTTGTTCCTCTGATAGAAAGTGAATCCTCTGTCACAGAGCAATTCCTGGAGAGGAAAATTTTAGGTATAAGACTGAGGCAAGAAATGTGTAAATGAGGCACTTAGGGACATGGTTTAGCAGGCATGGTGGTGATGGGTTTACAGTTGAATTTGATGATCTTGGAGATCTTTTTCAACTTGCCAAACTTGCACCAAATACTAAACTATGATGCATCTTGGTACCCTATCCACAAATGGAGACAATCACTTTCTTTCCTTTCACACCTTATCTGTGTTTCCTACTTGCATGCCAGTCTCTGATTCAGGGACCACCTCTTCCTCTGCCTATCTGTGCAATGCTGAGCACAGAGATATCTGTCTCCAGACCTTGGCCGGTCTTCTGCTCAGCGCCAGCCTTGCGAGCACGGCAGCCCTGAGCCTCGTCGTGCAACTGTTGGGGGAAACAGGTTCAGTCCTTTGGAAACTAAATTGAGAGCAGAAAATCTTGTAAACTGGACAAAGTTTCAAATATTCACTGAAGAATGTAGAAAATATTTCCACAGTGTTCTGGCTACAAAGTAGGCCGTCTGAGGCAGACCCTCACCTCGGG